GGTGCTCCAGGGGGCTCGTCGCACGATTGGTAATGGATTCAGTACCTAGGTCTGACAATTGGATTCCAGACAACGGCCGGCGTATAGTAACACAGGATCACAAAATCCGGTGGTCAAATTTTTGGACCTAATACACAGAACTTCCAATACGTGGAACATTGAGGCCCTCCAACGACATATCTTCCCGAGGGACATCTCCAAGATTCTAAGTATTTGACTGTCTGCATGCATGCAAGATGAAAGTTTTTGCTGGCATGCTACGCCCTTAGGCGACTATACGGTTAGATCGGGATATAAACTTGCCCGGGCACACAAGGATGCAGAAACACAATTCTTGCTCCAGTTACGCTCAGATGCACCTTTGAAGGCATTTGTTTGGAAAATTCTAGCCCCCAATAAGTTACGACACTTTCTTTGATATGTCTGGCTGGGGCTATAGCCGTTAATGAGAGGCTCAATCATCGACATATCCGCTCAACCTCTACTTGTCCCCGCTGTGAATCTTCAAGAGAGACTATAAACCATGCAATTTTCCTGTGCCCTAAAGCTCGGCACACCTAGGAACTCTCATTTATCTCATGGGATGACGGCTCTGGCCCTACAGAAAGTCTTAGGACTAATTTTGACTACCTGTCCTGGCGCATCCGGAGGACCGCGACCCTCTCGGTCGTAACATAGGCGGTCCGTGGATTGTGTGGTAGATTTGGAAGGCAAAGAATGACAAAGTCTTCAATGCATTGGACAGATCTCCTACTGAGATTTTGGCCATGGCAACGAAGGAATCTAAGGAGTGGTTACAGGCTAATAGTACAGAGCCGATATTAACACGGAGCCTCATTCCGGGACCTTCTCAGACACAAAGTACATTCACCTGCGCGATTGATGTTTCGTGGAAAGTTGATGATGGCACAAGCGGGTCGGCTTGGTCTTACAGCTGCAAGATGGGACCACCGACCTCCTCGGACTCCAAGATAATTACCGGAGTATCTCTCCTCTACATATAGAACTCCACAGTCACATTTGGGCGCTGCAGTGTTTACTCCGTAAACGCCGTTTTTGTTCCACATTCCTCACAGACTCGACTGAGCTAGTTAAGATGGTGAACTCACCACAAGACTGGCCTAGCTTCCAGCCGGAATTGTGTGATTTGGCAGCCTTTTGGGAATCTTTCCCCGAATTCAACCTCTTCTACCGAACACGGGATAGCACATTTGTTGGCTAGGAATGCGCGCACACGGAATATTGTCTTTTCATTTATTAGCACTTCAGTACCTTATTGGTTTACTGATACATGTAATGTATTTGTTTAATCGATAATGAAATGTGTTCGTGACACCAAAAAAAAT